TTTTGTAGCCGACTGGGACTGCCACTTTATACTCCTAATTGGCACTTTGTCAAATGAATCCTTACCTAATATTAGTAAGACTACTTTGCGGAAAATGCAGCTAAACATCACGAGGAGTACAGTCCAATGCCCACAAGAAGGGGTGGGGGCTTGAATTTAGTAAATGTGGAAATTGCAAAGGATCGTCACTTTCTGTGCTCTAATTGCAATTGCTCTCTACAGCTTTGTTCTCTTCTGCTCTGTTCAGTTCCTCTTTGCTGTGTTGTGCGTTGTGTAGCAGAGCGTTGCGGTGACTTCTGCTTGGTTTCGCTCCTACGCCTTTGACTACACCTTCGCCTCTCCGCCTTGCTTTAGCAAAGCTTCTCTACCACACTACCGTTTCGCTAAACAGGACAAGGCAATCTGGATTCCTTTCTCGACGCTATTCTGTGCTCTGAAGCCCATGGCAGTTGACGGCATTCGTTCGGTGCTTGGCAGCAAGTCCACTCCTAGGACACCATGTTGTGTATCATGTAGTGTATAATGGTGATGATGATGATGAGCATAATGCTAGGGTGCTGCCTTTCAGTATCACTCCTCCAAATTTTGAGGTTAAATTTGATTTTCACAAGTTTTACACCATACCATTCCAGTGGTCCATTGACCGAGTGAGCCCAATAAATGTGGGCGTATGCGCCAGTACATCTGAAGAGCCAACTCGAGGTCGGTGGTGCCCGCACGCGCTCTGAGCAACGGTTTGCAACCACTGAGTTGACCTAGCGTTAGTTTCGCCACACTCGGTCACTGCTCACATGTCCCTTTTGCAAAACCGCAAGAAATGAGTACTTTCTTTGACTTTAAATTAACCAGGGTTGTGTTTTCTGCTAATATTTCATGTACTGCATTGACTTCCATCTTCTCTGTGGTTACGGAATCTTTAACACGGGGCTACAAGCACTTGTATGAATATTTTACACGTGAATGAATATGAGCACCTCAACAGTTGCCCCTGTGAGTGCCCTTCATGTTAAGCAGTTAAGGGACTAGTACCTTTGCCCGCCAGTTGCAAACAGATGTGGAGAATGAAACCCTTTAGAGAGATGGGAGGATTAGTCTATCGTCAGAGAGTGAAATAATTTTGGCGAATGTCCTGCTGTACTGGAAGTGTTACCAGAACTCCGACATCCAATTTGATCCGCAATTTCCAAGAGACCTTCGACTCACAGATAGGCATTAGTGACTGGTAAATGTTAACAGGATGTGAGGGCAATTGGAGAATGGGAATAAAATACAACTCAAAACATCATAGCGCCGGAAGCATGTTGCGATAACGAAGAGTGCGTCTACAAATGTTTTGTTCACTGGTTTAAAAGCTACTTCATTTGACCCTAACCCATCTAGCGAAGCGTGTTATGTGAAGGACAGAAGGGCTTTCAACACACTTGTCCAGTAGCATTGACAGAACCTGCAATTATGCACTCTTCAATGTCCCTCGTGTTTCCGGATCTGACGCCAGTGGACAAGTGTGGGTTATAGAGGAACCGCTTTATTCAGCGCGATGGTTCATTTGCACTTGGATAGGAATGCTGCGCGTTGCAGCCGCACGCAACAATAAGCCTTAACA